GAGTCAATGGGAAATTCAAAATCCCCATTGGAATATTCAGAAACACAAAAAATGATTCATACTTTTACATTATCGATCCAACATTCGATGACCAATGGCACCAATAGCTTTGGATTCAACCAAATGTTGAAAAAATCAGCGGTTTTCTCGCAATAGAAATGAATCGTTGATGGCTTATTTAATTTGGCTTCAACCTGGCTGCCTCTATCGCCCGGAACTACAAATGAGCGAATTTTTGTTTGAAAATGTTACTTGAATCAACCTTCAGTGAGGAGTTGGAGTTCGATTGATATGTAAATTGTGAGAGATTGAGAAAGAAGGCGAAAATATTTGGAAATGATAAAGAGGGAAAAAAAAGAGCCCAACAACCAATACACATATGTGAAACCATTTAAATGCGAGCAAACACACAATGTGATAACGACTCAGACAACAGACAGACATATTGATTATCAGGCTTTGTTATGCGCTAAATCCATCACGCTGAATAAATTCATTCGATGGATTTATGCGCATATAAATGTGATGCGCTCGCTTTGCGGCGAACGAAGTCTGTTGCTCTTCAGAGTTGTTCACGCATGAACATGTTCATGCTTTGCAGTGAACGCATCGCTAAGCGGTAGTGAAGAGCAACATACCTCATTCACCGCAAAGCGAGCGCATCACATTTATCGCATAGATCTATCGCATTCAGAATTTATTCAGCGTGATGGATTTAGCGCATAACAAAGCCTGTTGATTATGTAATGAGCAATACTCTAGTATTTCTCACATTATGTGTTTTTTATTCTATGATTTTCGGTTTAAGTAGTTTGAATGGGAAGAACCAAAAAATAGCGTGGCTGTTAAAAACACAACAAGCACTGGATGCAACAAATGACACAAACACAAACAATTGCGTCTTATATTGGAATGACAGTAAAATTGCAGGAAAAAAACAAACAAACTTGATGTCATTGAATTGTTTGCAACTATTCTGTAAGTACGCAATGACGAATTCGAGTGATGAGTGTAAATTAGCACAGGAAATGTGTATGTGAATTTACTGCACAAAACGAAATATTTACAATAAGCAAAGTGTTACGTTCAATTAGTACTTACTGAATATGACGGGAGAGAATTTGTTCGGGTTCAAGTCATTGAATCGTGATTTTAGTTTGCGCTCTTTTCCATGCCAAAAATCCAAACGGGCATCACTCAAATGTGATAGACAAAAAAGCAATAGCAGCATCCAATGAACGATCTTCATTTTCACAATCCTTATTTCCTCTTTTGCTTCACACAAAATGCAATCCGTTCAGTACAACCGCAAATATCAACTGCGTTGTATCTGAAAACACAAAATCGAAATTTCGTTTGAAATCACCTTATTTTTTTTGCTATTGTAGCACGAAATTTCGATTTCGTGTTTACTAACAATAAGTGTTTTTGCGTGTTCAGTTAAAATATTATTCGTGATAAAAATTATTGCGTTATATCGTTTTTATTTCTCCCCGAGTTTATTTTTGTTCTCCACAAATAAAAAAAAATAAAGTTCGTATGGTCTGTATTGAAACAATACGCGATCGTATGATCCAGTTGTTTGTGCCCGCAAGTAGAAATGAATGACAGCAGCCTTTGAATACTTAAATCACCTAAATTTCTGAACCGTCGATTATCAAATAAAAATGCAAAAGAAAACAAAACTACGTATCACCAGCGGTAAACAAATAACGCAAATGAAATCGTCCTTCCAAATTACTTTAATTTGATAATGTCATGGCAAGAAGTATTTGTGATGTGTGTAACGCATCAGCCGTTAGACTAAGTGAGAGACAAAGGAACACATGCAGCGGCAGCTATGCTTTGCACGCATTCAAAGATATGCTTCACACAATCGTTCTTTGTCGGCTGAAGATCTTTTCGCATCTCAACTATGTTTGGGCTGCCAATGTCGCTGAAATGTCATGAGAATATAACATTATTTTGAAGTTTCAACTCCAAATT